TTTTAATTTTACTAAGTGTATAAGTTTCCATAACTTACGAATAGTACTGTATGTATCGAAGAATACACACGTTATTAAAAGAATTAAGGTTCGGTGGCCAATAGTTTGAACTAGAGGGACTTCAAGATATACTAGAAATATTATATATAAAATATTAAACTAGCACAGGTAATTGAAAAGTTATAGAAGATCATTGACACAGTTCTAAATAAAGAGCTATTCTATGTGGTTTGCTCCAACATGTGTAGATAATTATAATTTGAGACCCTTTATCGGGCAGCTATATATATATATATATACACATATATACACAAGATAGGGTGGACGTCGGTGCGTTAAGTTTCATTAAAAAGATACAACCAGGCCAGCCGAGAAGGTATTCCGAGTCGGACGACGTAGATCTGCGATCCGGTGCATAGTCGCAATTAATGTGTGCGTAGTATACATAGGGGAGTGTAAAAATGTCCCATAAGTAGACAAGAAAGGCTGTGTAATCCGATCTCGCGAGAGAAACGCGAATGAGAACGCGTGCAGAGAAATCGATTCTGGACAAGTTCTTGTACGGTTTCTCAGTTAGGTGGTCTAGCAAGCTTTACACAGCCTGAGAGTTCATTCACCGGCAAGCGGCACAGACAACGAGAACTACTTTAATCGAGTTGGTATTTTATCGAATGAAATATATCAAGTTTGTATCTTTCTTGGTTGCTTCTCATTTTTTTTTACAAAATTATATTTATTTCGAATAAGCTTATACAAGATGTGATAACTGACTATATCGATGTTTACTTAGTCGTGATATAAATCTTAACTTATATTTTCAAAGTCTGTCTCTTTCTCTTTTCTTAACTAGTTTACATTAGCTCGTATATGTATATCCAACTGAGTATATTCGTATTATCTAGGTATAACAAACACTTTTGTTCACTTGTCTTCATAAAAATGTCTATATCCTGTGTGCTATCGTTTGATAGACAACAATATAGAACGTATTCGAGCATCTCGAAGTCCTCTTCGAAATAAGGAGGCTTTACGGTCAATAAATATTTGCCTAAGAAAATATTACGAGGAACATTCCCAAACATTACGATAAAAATAGAATAGACGTTGTACGATATTACTATCTATATGTATAGAATTCTTAGGCATATTTGATATGGTGAATATATTTGACAAACGTTCCAAGATTATTATTATTGTGATCGTACGTTTCAGTACGTATGCGTTATTGATAACGTGTAAATCAGACTGATCGATGATTGGGAAATAAATGGAGAATATGTGTAAAATGCATATCGATATGAGAACTGTAAATAATTTCGTATATCCCATGTTAGTGACACTATAACTTCTTCCTTTCAGAAGCAGCGTATTCGGTACCGTCGAACTGCCTCAAATGAATCTGTAAATATATTTTCACTTAATAATATGAATATCATCAATCGCATAAATAACAATAAGCAGCGCATACCTGTAAATGTAAGTTTACTTCTGCCGCTCGACTTAAATACGGAAAATTTCCGCCGCTTTTCAAATGTGCCAACTTTGCATTTGGATAACACTTGTATACTTCCTCTCTCACCGAATTCGATAACGCATACTCATCAAAAACGTCTATAATCGTGATAGGCAAATGACATATCTTTTGTGGCTGTACGTAACAATTCACGCAATTCATCGTCAATCGAGAAGCCAATTCCGGTTGCGTTAAACTTTCCAACTGTGAATAAAAACGATATACATATTCATATAGAGAGCTATATTAAACGAAAGATACATACTCTTTCCACCATAAAATCAATCGCTTCTACGATCTCTCCGTCGACCTTGTCTGTCACGAAGTTTCCCATTAGCATCTTTTTCAATACCAACGACGGTAAAATCCAAAAACTACAATTCGAGTTGATTAGTAACAGTAACAGTAAAATATGCGAGATAACGTATCGCGGTCTGTCATACGTCCACTTATCTTGAAACAAGCGAGAAACAAACGATGAAATACGATGAATTCGTTTGACTTTATAGTTGTTGAAAAACAGCAAACAATTACATAGCAATATAACGTACTTACACCCCCGCGGAGTCGTTGTAATTAAATACCGATGTATCTGTGAACGAATTGCACAGAATCAAGGACACTACCCTAGGACAGTGAGCATTTGCCTCGGTGAACTTTTGCGCCAGAAATCCACCTAAAAATAGATATTTTGATCAGATCTCCGAACGTATACTTGGTTATCGCGTTTGATATCGACTTTCGTTCGTACGTTCTAACCTAATGAGGTGCCAAAAAGATGCACCTTATCTAACTCCATGTAGTCTAAAAGTTTCCTAAATCCATCGCACCATTCTTTAACGTTCCAATAAACGGGTGATTCGGCCTGAAACATAAGTTAATTTAACTCGATTGATTTTCTTACAAACCAAGGTCGTATCTCGATATTTGTAAAACTTACCGATATGATTCTGTATCCTTTAGCTGCTAAGCCTAATACTTGCTTGAAGAAAACATCGGCCGTCCCACTAACCGGTGGAAGACATATGAGTGGACACTTGACGGTTTTTGGACTAGAATCGTATACTTTCCATCCCTAAAATAAAACATATCATTCTTACTATACGTAAATACATTTGTATGACTATGTTTACCTACTGAAACACATTAAACAGAGACTGAAGAAAACATCGTTGTGTTTAATTTGCGCGATCAACGATAATATCGATAGATGTTTCGATCTCAAAAAAGAAACCAGATAATAACGTAATACGGAATAAGTAATTTTATTGTCGTGGAAAAAATTGAAGATTTATTAAAATGTGCAACGGTAATATAAAATAAACAAAGTTTAGCATCTTCTATAACATTTAGTAGGTAAAAAATTTCTGCTCAAGTTCTATTTGTTTATCTGGTTTTCTAAATATATGAATCTACATGAATATTCGCAGTCTAGTTAAGGCGGGATTTCCTATATGCGCTCGTCCGTGTCAAAAACAATTTAAGACTCGAATCACACGTAAACATCGGACGCCTTTGTACTATTAAAATTTACAATGGAGAACATGCTTCTGTTTTCGCAACGACGTCGTACGATTCACGTTTAAGACTGCTTTCGACGTACACGCGTGCGTTGGACGCACACAGGAAATCCCGCCTTTATTAGTTCTCTTACGAACATTCTTCCTTTGTATCCGTATACGTGAGATTTGTTTACAATAATCACGGAGACGAGGTCATCGTTACAGGTCTCGATCTCAAGCGTAATCTCATCAGGCAGAACCTTCAAATCAAAGATTTCCACGTATAATTAATATACTACATTAATGATTACCTTGGTGCCGTCGGCGTCGACGACAATTTTTCTGAGCGGGACGGAACTACGAAAGCTGAGATACTCCTGCGATCGGGACAGCTCACTCGAACACGACATCTTCCCCGTTCTACTGTCGTCGATCTGTCTATAGTTACAGGATGGCTTACGTTCAGTGTTACCGATATCTACAAAAGCAGATAAAGAGAAGAAAACTTCAAGTAGCAGGGCTGTATAAGGTCTCAATTTTACGCGGTGTATCGTCAAGATTTATGTACATATTTTTGAATAAATGAATCGCGAATTGCAATTCATTTAACCGTCGGACGACTCAAGATTCGATAGTCGAACAGAAGGCGAAGCCGGGTCTCGTTAGTCTGCTGGCCAAATTAGACCTAGCATCGTTGGGGGACGGTTAAAATTCGAAGTTGCTACACTTACTACAAAACTGGAGTATGTAATAATTACGATCGTACGTACGACCTTAGATTAAACCTACCTCAAGAGCAGCTTACGAGTCGTACGGTTCTCCTGATATCGTTACGCGTAGCAGACATCCTTAATACGTACAGGTTACCACGAAGAAGCAAGTTACCCAGTAACTCGAAAGGTCAAATCACTTTAATAACAGTTGTTTGCAAGCATATATCGACAATGTTGTTCAGTTTACACCCCCTTCCGAGCATTGTCGTTCTTTGTCTTTCCTATTTCTTCGCATGGGTTTCGTTATAAAGTCGCGATACGAAGCTTCAATGGGCATGCGCGTGTTCTATCGTGTTACGTCGGTATAGTCATATCTGAATTTTATTACGTTACTGATTTATATTCTGCGTGTGTGCACTTCGAAGCCTGTACTCTCAACTATGTTGACGTACAATTTCGATTCGAGTTTCGAACAGAGTTTACGAAAAATTCAGTGCCTACGTAATTACGTGCTTAATTACGCGTAAATTAATGCGAGGTGCGCGATTTTGGACGCAGTGGTATCATCTGTCGGCGGGCGACTGGTACTTCTCTGGCGACTGTTTAGGATTAGTACCGCTGGTTCACCGGTAGATGGCTCCAGTATCTCCAAAATTGTATGCAAATAATAGCTTCAAGTAGAAGAGAGAGAGAGAAGAGATAGAAGTTCGTGGGGGAGGGGGAAGGAGAAAACAATGTTTCGTCCTGGATCTGCTAGAGGATTCGTCGATCAGGCTAATCCAGCAGATCCACGTTAACCTTAACTTAATTCATGAACAGCTCAAGAGTTAAATTTAAATTTATAGTTCCAGAAATATGATTTTTTTCATTTTCCGAAGAAACTCGTTCCTCCTTTTCACCACTAGATGGATATAGCGTTTCATGGTCTGCGTTTCGATCAAATTTTCATTTGCAAAAAAAAAGCTAATTAAGAGGATAAATTAGTGAACTTCTTAAATCGGATCCTTCGAATTAGAGCCTCGATTTTCTTCCTACGTACCTTTCGACTCTTGAAATAGATTTATAAAAATTTAAAAATTTTGAAATTTAGAATGTCAAGTCTATCCTATTCTCAACGCGAGAATTGATTGTAATTTTAATAAATAAATAAAAAAAAAAAGTCTATCCTGCGTATACATATTTTGTCGAAGGTCACATCCTTTTCTAGCCTCGGTCGGAACAGATTATAATTTGTACCTGTGTTTTCACTTTACGTTCTCAATAAATACGAATTTAGAAATAACGGAAGTAAAACGAAGTTACGTCATTACCATTATCAGACAACGCTGAAAAATATATATAAATATATAACGTAAATGATGGTCTGTTCATTATACGATTCACCGTAAAGATACGTATCTACGTATGTACTTTCTTCGAACTGTAGGATAACTAAAACTGGAAATAAACGTCCATAGATCGGTAGATGGCAGTCATAGCAGCGTTGATACAATGAAAAAAACAGCATATAGTCTGTCAATAATCGATCACAAATTATTCCATATCGTTATCTCACATCAAATATACTTTTAAATAATATTTTGTAGATACGTTAGTGCGGTTCGGACATCGTTTGTCATCTGTTCTTTACATATTTTATGCAAAAAAAATCGTACGAGCATCTTGTCGATAAAACTTTATCTAGACCGTAATTATGTCTGAATAAATAGAAAACGGAAACGTTATCGAACGTAATATTAATGTTGTACAACGCTGGTTACCATTTCTCCTCGACAATTCTGTGTTAAGCATTTGCCCACTGCCGAATTGACCGTGAAGAAGGGTTGCAACCACCAAGCCACGCAGGAGTGTGGCATGTACGTGTTCCACCTACACCACGTACTGCAGTACCAACTGTGAAATTAAGGATTTCGCCGTTTCCTTGACGATACCTAGGGAAATTCACCGACCATCTCCTTTTCCCGTTTCCCATTCCAACCGTTAGTATTTGAAAACTAGTGATTTTTCTCAATCATCGAGCGAGATCGAAAACGAAAGAAAGTTACGCGAATACGATACAATATGCAGCAAAAATTAAACGTTAAATGGTAAAGTATATATATGAATGCATTGCTATTTCCAGGGCAAAGTATATCAAATTGGCACAGCAATCAACGCGGTAGCTAAAATCACTCTCGAACTGCTCGAATTGCAGTACGTTTGAAAGAAATTCGAAATGAAAAGGCGAGTAACATCTCGAGCAAGCCTACGCAGGCGACGATTTATATTTCTATTAGAATTTCCGGCAACGGCAGTAACGATCCTTCGGAACGACTGGAACGGAGAGGGAAATTTTCACTGACGAACATTAACAGCAGAAAATCGTGTAGGAAGGCGGACGGACGTTGCTTCAAAGAGCGGTGCTTTTATTTTAATCCCATAACGTTTACGCTTGTTAAGTGATCGGCGATAATTAACAGCAATTCATTCGACTATAATACGATCCATCGTCTCGGTATCGCGAGCATTTATCAGTCGCGATTAATCTAAACTTTCCACAGTCACGAATGCGAAACGCTCGGCAAGGTTTACATTGGCAGAGGCCCGAGTCATTAATAACCGATACCGAGAGAACCTCGTTGCTGTCCTGCGTTAATTCGACGTATCGAATCGAACGACACACTGACGCTCGTTAATCTTCTTCCCCAATCCGTCACTCGAAGCGATTTATTTAAGGAACGAACGTATGCGCGTACGCATCAACGTGTATAACGTTGTCTCTCTTCCCTTCGTTCTTTCCCGTCTTTATTAGGCTTCTTTTCGCCTCGCGTAAAAGCAAGCGCTCTGGTTAAACTTAATCGATGCATCGGTATATCGTCGACGGGGGGCTGTTGAAATATCGTCGCAGAGACCGGACGTCGGAACGATCCTTCCCGTTTTAAGAAATTCGTCTATATGAAATTTCATTTCTTCAAAAACGGCTTAAGATTCTTGAAATGGTCATGGATGCAATGACTCTTCACTCGCTAAGTAACATAATTCTTTCAACGTTGGTAACCGCATAGAGTTACGTTCCGTTTTGTATTTCGAATCATCGAAGCTCTTTTTCGAATGCCACTAATGTGTGCTCCCTTCGGCGAGAAAGGACATGTTTCTGCTTTTCGTGCGCTTTGGCTAATTCCGTCTCACGTTTGAACTTTTTAATTATCTCGTATTTCGTCTCGTATTAAATTCCTATAATCGGAATTCGCTCGATCGATCAAAGAGAGAGATACATCGAAGAAATAAAAAATACATTGTATATGATCGCTAACGATATATGTGCATGTTTCAAAGGGAAAAAAGTATTGCCGTTATTGACAATAGAAC